ATGTGCCCACAACCAAGGTACATGCCCTTGACCGGAACTGAACCTGGGACCCTTGAATCCGCAAGCTGACACTCTATCCACTGAGCCAAACCAGGAAGGGCCAAATAGTTCTATTTCTAATCAATTACGTGCAAAACAATATTATTTATAGAGTATTCTAAATCCTTTGCCTGCGTTAGCTTAATCCCCGCACCATCCCTATAAAGTGGATACTACCATTATCCCCATTTTGCAGATGAGGAAACTGAGACATGGAGAGGGTAAGTGACTTGCCCAAGATGATACAGCACATACAAGGTAAATTTGGGATTTAAATCCAGACAATTTGGCTTCAGATCCTTGCTCTTACTGGCAGAAATAACCTCCTGTCCTTTATAAGTGAACTTGATGGTGAAAGTTCTACCTTTAGCAAGAATTGGAGGTATTTTTAACTGGCTCATCTACACTCATTTGCCAGCCTCACTCACCACCACCAACTCATGTTTTTTAGATGCCTGGGTGATCATGTATAGAAAGAGGTCCCACTAGGGACCAAGGTCTTTGGCTCAGACAATAGGCACTTATAAACTCTTTGCCCACTACAAACCAGAGTGGCTTTGGGTATTTAAGACAGACTCCTGGGGTCTATCCACTCAGATGTGAGGAATAACTGAGAAGGCCAAGACTTCTTAGTTATTGAAGTCATGGGTTCCAGCCTCCAAAAGCCATCCAAACAGGGTTTTAGATACAAACGCATATGACTAAACAGCTTCCATACTTGTGTCTGGGTTACAGCTGTCTTGTTGAATATCCATTTCCTTCTTGCCTTTGAAAGTTCTCCACTGATCCTGATACTTTTCTTTCTTTTTCCTTTTTTTAAATACTATATTTTATTGATTTTTTACAAAGAGAAAGAGAGAGGGATAGAGAGTTAGAAACATCGATGAGAGAGAATCATCGATCAGCTGCCTCTTGCACACCCACTACTGGGGATGTGCCTGCAACCGAGGTATATGCCCCTGACCAGAATCGAACCTGAAATCTTTCAGTCCACAGACCGATGCTCTATCCACTGAGCCAAACCGGTTCGGCTGATCCTGATACTTTTCAACACTAGCTACGTGAAAACATTGTGGCTCTAAATACAGCTCGTGTTATAAGGGACACAGTAATTATTTTAGAGTAATTCTGGGAACAAAATGCTTCCAGGGAGTGGGCAGTAAAATGAAATTAACTACCACCAGCTGATGTGGCTCAGTGGTTGAGCGTCAACCTATGAACTAGGAGGTGACAGTTTGATTCCTGGTCAGGGTACATGCCCCGGTTGCAAGCTCAATCCCCAGTGGGGTGCATGCAGGAGGTGATTCTCTATCATCATTAATGTTTCTGTCTCTCCTTTTTCCTCTCCCTTCCTCTCTGAAATCAATAAATATATATATAATATATATATGTATATATATATATATATATATATATATATATATATTAATGATATTAACTACTAACCAATAACAATATTTGTTGCAGGCTAGCATGTACATTTTTCCAACCATTATGTATGAATAACCTCATTTAAATCACAAAAAACTCATTTTACTGAGGAAGAAACTGAAGCACAGAGAAGTTAATTGACCTCTTTACAGCCACACAGCTAATAAATGGAAAACATGAAGAAAGTGGCCTTTGAGGAATTTTATGATTTCCAAACACACGAGGCTGTGGGGATACAAAATAATCGAAATCCCCGTGCCTGTCCCCACAAGTTGACATTCTAACAAAGAGAGGACATAAATGAAACAGAAGTCACTAATTTAATGCAACCAATGTTTATTGAACACATGCTATATGCCAGTCACTCTAGGTACTGGGGAGACAGATGCTTCAGGGAGCTTTTAGTCCATTAGAAACACAGACAGAAACAAAACAAAACAAAAAACAATTGTAAAGAAAAATTACATGAGATAAGTGCTAAAGTATTTTATAGAAGGTACTTAGGGATGGTTCCTCTGAGGCCGTAATAGCAGTGAGACAGTAAATATCAGGGAAAAGGAACATGTTCAGGGGGCAGGGACTGGTCCATGAAGCCCTGGGATCCGTGTGCTTGTGCTCTGGAGGGCTGGAGAACGGAGTGGGAAAGGGGGCACGTTTCGGGGAAGGAATTGAAATGGGCACGCAGGACTGGGCCTGATGCCGGTGAGAGTGGTCAGTTGCTCCATCTGACCACCACACAGCATGTGAGCAGGAGGGAAGGGACGGAATTTGGAATTATGGGAAATGCTGGAGAAATGAAGGTTTTCTACCGCCTAACGTCTCTCATGCTTGACCTTGACCCCTCCTTCTGCTGTCTTTGTTCAGGCTCACCCTCCAATCTGATCACAAGCTACAATCAGAAGGATGGTCTAAAAAGGCAAACCTTCCCATCCATGGCCCTCTGCTGCTCCCATACCCCTTCACAGACTGGGCATCATTTTCAGGAGAAAGGGACAGGCTCCTTAACTGTGGCACATGGGGCCCTCAGAGTCCAGCCCCACCTGCCCTCCATCTCCTCTCTCTCCTTCCCACTGCTCAGCCTCCAGGAGCCCTCCCTGTACCCAGGCAGGGCCTGACTGAATTTCAGGACCAGGCATTGCTCCTGGCCTTCGTCCCCACCAGGGCTGAGCTGAAGGAGAGCCAGGGGCTGCTTCGCCCTCTCTGTGGCCCCACTTGTAATCTGTGCTCCTCTCAGCACAGCGGGACTCGATTGTGACCAACAGAAGAGGCCTCCTTTTTCTCTCTAGGTGTAGGTTCCTGGACAGATTTTTATCTGTCACTTTGCTGCCTTTCTTTAAATTGTGTTCATCAAGACCACAGTTCCCCATTTGTATATGCGGCTTGGAGCCCGCTTTCACTATGAGGTAGAAAACATCTATTTGCATTTTCCTCCCTTCCTCCCAACACCCACAACTTTTGAAGAAAAAAAAAAAATCACTCTACAGGGCAAAACACACGTTATTGATGTTTCCCTCCCTTGGAATGTTTGCTTGGCTCTCCCTTCCTCTTGCCTGCCCAGCACACCTGACCTGTGGAAATGAGGAGGTCCCAACATCACTGATCCATCTCCTCCAAGCCGCTCATTGGCCCAAGTACACAGTTTCACAAGACGGGAGTGGTATGAGGAGTAAGGATCAGCAGGTAGAAAAATAAGGCCAGGGGGTTCTTGGCCTCTGAGCAGGACTGCAAGTTAATTGTTAAACCAGAAAAAGCCCTTGGGGAATACAGACACATCTTTGAAGTTATCTAGGAACACATTAAATGACCCAAAGACTAACTTCAAGAGATGAAAAAGCTAGTGTTTAGTGAACTACTTCGACACAACAAGCCTTTTATGCCCACTGTGCATTAGGGTGAGACAGACAGGATTCTTGCCCCTCAGAGGCCCACAGTCTACTGAACTGTCCATCACTCCTGACAGTAAATAAACACCAAAAAGGAGGCCTGTGGAAAGGAGAGGAAATGTTTGAGACTGGATAGATCTGTGGGTGACTAATATTGTATGTGAACCATGGAGGTGGATTCCAAGTTGAAGGGGGTGAAGAGAGAGGGGAAGGCGTTGGCAAAATTGGGAAGAAGAAGCAGGAAAATCCAACCCATGGATGAAGGGGAAGCTCAGGGCGTGGGGCTACCTCTTGGTATATGGAAGTGAGAGGAGAAGGTGGCATGATTTGTTTACCACTTGTCTTCCATGCTGAACTTGAAGTTGTATGAGGGTGAGGACAATGTTGATGTTGTTCATCTATATCCCTTAAATTAAGCAGCATGCCTGCCATAGAGTAGCTGCTTTATGAATATTATTATTTTTTAAATATATTTTATTGATTTTTTTACAGAGAGGAAGGGAGAGAAGCATCGATCAGCTGCCTCCTGCACACCTCCCACTGGGAATGTGGTCGCAACCAAGGTACATGCCTTTGACCAGAATCAAACCTGGGACCTTTCAGTCCGCAGGCTGACACTCTATCCACTGAGCCAAACCGGTTTTGGCTTTATGAATATTATTAAAACTAAATATGAGATGGATAAATGGATGTCTTGGATATAAGGTCAGATACACTGTAAGCCAGATGAGTCAAGCATTTCAACCATGATCTCTGATCTTACTTTGAAACAAAAGAGTGGATAGGGAGATAAGAAAGCTAGTGTTTATTGAACAGCTACTATGTATCAAGCCTTCTATGAGCATTAAATCATTTCATTTTCTTAGCCACCCTTTTATTTGGAGAGATTGAAACTTGGAGAGGGTCAATAACTGGCCACCGTCACACAGCCAGAAAATGGTGGAGCCAGAATTCAGACCCAAGCCTTACTTTGTTTTTCTCTCTCAGATCCAAGGCCATTGGCACATGACAGTGCCTGCCAGTCATTTTCATAGCATGCTCTGCAGAACCTCAGGCTCTTCAGCCCCTATAAGGGACATTGAGACCAATTCGGTAGCCATGGGGACCAAAAACACAGACACCCACCCAGCTTCAAGCAGCGAAGTTCTCATTTTCCCTGCTTCATGTGTGGGCCTTCCTGATTTCATCCAACTTTTATCAGGGGGAGAAAAAAGGAATTAGAAACCACTCTGCTGGACCATGCTACTTCCTAGAATAATCCATCACCAATTTGCTGTGGGATCCTGGTCAGTCACTCCTTCCTTCCGTTTTTTACACAAGAAAGACTGGATGACAATGCTGAAACTCTATTGTGCTTCTTAACCTTCCGAATGGAAGATATAATAAATGAAAAGCTCATTTAATGAATGAAAATGGCTGGACCACCTTGAATAAAATTCTAGACAAAGTTTTAATTCCATCGATGGCACCTAATAGGGGAGTATGATCAATTACCAGGTGGATCCTCATTGCCAGATGCCTAGGCTGATGCCTGCCAATAGCATCTAACTGGGACTCAAAAAGCAAATAGGAGCCAGTCCTTTGGTAACCAGCACATGACAGGATACAGGATCTTAGCAAATAGTCTAGAGAGGTTCATCCACTTACCCATAGAGATGTAACACATAGATATACTGGTTCTCGAAGAATTCATAACTGGAAATAATGTCGCCCTCTTCTATGGTTTGACCATTTTTATACCAAGTTACCTCTGGCTTGGGCTGACCTGTTGATACAGAAATAAGGACATTTTTATTACATTAAGTATTTTTACAAAAAAAAAAAAAAAACAACTCATAAAGCTATGAACAAAAATGGGTAATAAGCATATTATCTGCCTACCCCAGGACTGTGCAATCGTGAGAATGGAGCATACAGAATGGAAAATGTTGTATCTAATCTCAAGAAGATATTATGAAAAATTATCTGAAACTTAGAAATAAGGTAAAAGGTGGATAATACTTCGTTCAAAGTCATATGTGGGCAGAGGTCCATTAAAGAATTATCTAGGCCCTAGATTATAGGGAAATGTACTTAGTTCCACTCAATAATTACTATTGATTAAAATTCCCCTTTTGTGGAGTTACTATCGATACATGTAGATTTTTGTCCAATAGAGTTGCAAATAGTCTCTGTGTCTGGCAGAAAAGATAACTCTTTAAGTTCTGGTATATTGCCCCAACATTAGCCACTGTTTTACCTAACTCAGCAATCCTAACCTAAGATTCCTTTACTAAATTGTCTACTAATACCTACTTCTTCAAATGTTCTCTGATCAGGTCCCAATACTCTCTGGTTCCCTTTTTATTTAAAGAGTTGAAAAAATTTTTGAAATGTTAATTTCATATTTGCTTAGGAGTCACTTTATCTTTCTCAAAGATATATTTGAACAGTACTTAGAGCTGAATGTAAGTTATGGTACAAAAGAGAGAAAATGAAGTGGATTAGCAAGTGCCCTGCCTTTCTGAGGGTGAAGGAATCTGGAATGTAGGTTTCCCAGGCTGGTACTATGCATATGTGACTGATGTCACCACAGAAACTGACCTAAGCTTTCTCCCTCAGAAGGCTTTCATCTTCCCTGGTGATCATTAACTGGAGGTCATGTGAATAGGTTTGGTAAAGCCCCAGGAATTTCATTTACACCTTAGGATTTTTCCCCCTTGTGATGGGGCAGGAAGTTCTAGTGTGTCCCAGAGAGCTTTCTGGGTAGCCTTCAGGTCATTTAAAATGAATTGGAAATGGTAAGAATGCCTTCTTTTTTACAGCAGCATGGTTTTCCATTGTGTAGCTGTACCACAGTTTTCTAATCCACTTGTCTGATAATGGACACTAAGGCTGTTTCCAAATCTTAGCTATTGTAAATTGTGCTGTTATTAACATAGATGTAAGACATCAACCAAGGACTTGTATACATGCATATGAGCATAACCAATGGACACAGACAGTAGGGGGATGAGGGCATGTGCTGGGGGTGGGAGGGGAGAAGAAGAGGTCAATGAGGGGAAAGGAAACTCATGGAATACTTTAAACAATAAAGACTTTAAATTAAAAAAGAAGAAGAAAATGAATTGGAATGTGCTATATATACAGAAAGAAAGTTTGGTATTTGGAAAAATACACCTTTCTCAGTCCATCCTAAAAACAGTCTTATATTTTCTGTCTTATTTATCTCATGATCTTTGGCAAGCAATCCCAGATACCACTAAGAAAAGAACTCTATGTTCTTCTGAGACCCGTACCTTGGAGATACCTGGGGCTACTCAGAGCCTGCCCTCTCTCCCTGTCCATGTCTCATCTAACTTGGGATCTCCTCGGTGCCAATACCATGAATGTGCTGAGTGGCAACTGCGGGTGTCCCTCTTTGCCCCCTCCTCCAGGCAGGCGCCTGAATAATCAGTCCCTGGAGCCAGGAGCAGACAGGCCTACATGCAAGGACATGTCCGTCACCCACAGCTGCGTAGCTGAGTCTCCTTCAGACAGATGACTAAACCACCAAAAAATGAGTTTTCCTGAGAAGCCATCAAAGAGGTTGCTGGCCATAAATCATTCCCACCTGTTCCTATCAGCCTGTGTCCCCCTTTGAATCTGTTTTATTTGATTCCTTTTTAAGGAGCATGAATTGCTCTTTTTGTGTGTGTGCATGGCTTTTTTTAAGAAAGTAGGTAAAGTATGCATGAGCTGGCTCCAGGGAACTCATTCTGCTCTCTTGGGCTCCGGTGTTCCATTCAGATGGATCAGAGCTCAGTGATCCTCGGCTTCTTCCTGGCTGACGATTTATTTCCCTTTGTGCGATACAGATCTGAGCAATCAGCCAGAAATGAGATTTGCACCGCGAAGTGGTATCTTGTACCTTGTGGGTGGTTCTCTTTTCTCCCTCTACTTGCTGGAAACCTCCCCCGAAAATCCTACCTTTGTTTTTAAAACCTGCCTGCAGGCCACAGATTGAGACCCGCCTCCAACTTTTCACAAGAACTTGGTTAATATATGTGTGTTGGGGAAAAAGGGGGAGAGGGATGAGTATAGGGTATGTCCAAACTCTGGGGCTTCCTGGAGAGACAAGAGGGCTCTGTTCTGAAGCTCGGGAGTGGAGCTGTGCCTATTTCTCTCTCTCTGAATGGCTATGGACACACCCCAAGAAAGAGAGGGGCTCGGCTCTGGGGTTGGAGAGGCTGAGGGCACATCCTACACTCCAGCATCCAGACAGAGACCAGACCCTGTGAGGACTCTGGCTAAGGAATTGCTGACATTTCAGAGGCTGGCCCCACTCTCCAGACTTGGAAGAAGGGGTCAGGGGGAGAGGAGTTTTCTGTCTGTCCTCACAAAGCACCATTGGGGCCCCCGTGTTTTCAAGGGTAGAGCCATAATCTAAGAAAGAAAGAAAGAAAACAAGTGCACCAGGTACAAGATTCCACTTTCCTACCCAATTATTCTTCTAGTTTCTTTTCATCAATCCTTTGTAGGGGGTGAGTGGGGGGGAGGGGGAGGGAGAAGAGGCAGGGAGGGAGGAGTACAATTTCTGAGTCAGCTCGGGGCTATTTATTCTCTGGCCCAGGAAGAATTCCAGGCTCCTCCTTTTCCTCCACTGGGCACCTCTGCCTGGTGTTAACCTTTTCTCCGCTGACCAGCACACCCGAAGAGGATAAGCAGTGGGGACTCGAATTTAGGCAGTTTGGGGATAGCAATAAAAGAACAATGAAAGAAGAGGTCAATACTGGTAAGTGGTCTGAGGTGAGATTATTCATGCACTCCCATGGGCCACAGGAAATTAAGGGAGGATTATCTGGAAAAACAACCAGTGTGGAAGTTGCCTAACCAAGAACTACAACATGAAGTGATGATCTGATCACTAAATGTATCCAGGAAGTGACTCAGATAAATCTTTTAGGGGGAAAAAAATGTAGATTTAATTGCTCAACTGGCTACTTGGAATAAACTTCCCAGGTAGTTTTCCCAGGTGATGTTTTAGTCATGCCTTTGTGGGCCAAAGAACCTGATGGGCAGGGAGATTTTAGAAGGCCACCGGCTAGTGATGGTTACCAGATATTATGCAGCGAAGCACCGTGTCTGACTTCTCGGGAACCTTCTGGGAGAGCAGCGTGGATAAGAAACACAGGGTGCGCCTCTGAGGCCCTCCTGAGTCTGTCATCCTCTCATGTCACGTGGATCTGAAAAATAAAGGTGCCCAGCATCACCATTTGTTTGGGGACTCATCTGAGTTAGAGAAATGGAGAAGGAGAAGGGCCTCTCCAAGGCTGGGATTGGCGCTCACTCCAGCGGCACCTGGAAAGCAAAGAGCGCCCTCTGCGCCTGTGTGAAGCCAGCTCTATACAGTATGAGCCAGTGCGGGCTCAGTTCTGGAAGCCAGGCTTTCCTTAGAGCATGTTTTCTTGATTCATCAAGCTCCTCTCTTCCTCCTGTCCCTCCACCTTGTTTTCAGTTGGCCTCTTTCTTTCTTTTTTTTTTTTTTAATCTATTTTTATTGACTTCAGAGAGAAAGAGATAGTGAGAGAGAGGCAGCAACATCAACAATGAGAATTATTGACCGGGTGCCTCCTGCATACCCTATACCTGGGATCAAGCCCACAACCCAGGCATGTGCCCCAACCAGGAATCCAACCGTGACCTCCTGGTTCATAGGTCAACCACTGAACCACGCTGGCAGAAAACCTCTATTTTTAAATCTGTTTTGCCTCCTCTCTTGATTGCTATCTTAGGGGAGAGGGCAAGAGCCCCCTTCACTGGTGACACTCAGACAGGCTTTCTTACCATCTCACTGCTGGCATGTGGGCCCGGTACCTTCTTGTGGGGTCTGTCCTGTATGTTGTAGGATATTTAGCCAAATCCCTGGCTTCAACCCACTGGATGCCAGTTGCAACCCTCCCCCAAGTGGTGACAATCAAAAATGACTGCAGACATTGTCAATGCCCCAGGGAAGGGCAGCCCTGGTTGAGAACCCCCAGTTCTAGAGGATGGCAGGACAGCCAGAGCCCAGACGGACAGGGAAGACACTCATGAGCCACAGCTAAGCTCTGGGTGGAAGAGGCTGGATCTAAACACCACAGTGGTATCTCCATATGGGTTTAATTGCCCCTTAAACACTCAGAACCAATTCTCCCTCTTTCCTGTCACTTTTCCAGGTTGTTCTAAATACCCCAAGAGACAGCTTGCCAAAGACACATTCCCCTGACAACAGGTCAAGGTTTCATCAGCACCTGAACACTGCTCGGTGAGTAGGAAGTGAGTAGTCAGAGAGAGACTTGGGATGGGAGGTAAACATGTCCGAGGACCTTGGCCTCTGCTCAGGACTGGCTGTGTCAGTTGCAGGCCTGGTGAGAGATGCAAATGAGGGATTTCTTGTTCAAATATGATTAAAGTATTTAGGAGGGCAATAGCAGCACAATAAACCATCCACTGGGACCCTTCTGGGCACAAAGCCCTGTGTGAAGGCACAGACTGTGGGCCCAGGAGGCCAGCCCTGCCTGGTAGACCCTCCCATGGAACATTCTGCCCACAAACTCCAGCTAGTCCTGCCCCCTGAGGCCACACCTGCTGCTTCTGGTGTCCCCACAGCATTTCCTTAATCTCAAAATGTTCGGTTTCCATGTTCTGTTTTCAGTCTTTGAAAACAAAAAAGCATTCCCTCTGTGAAACCTGCAGGGTCTCTGAATATCAGGGTTAAAGTTTTAAATTTAGGAGAATACACTTCCCTTTCTCAGGAAGAGTGTGTGCAGGAACTGAGGTTCAACCAACCCACAAAAAGGGTAGAAAACACTGTAAGTTGAAGAAGTTGTATGATAGCATCAAAAAACCACTTGAGTGTGGGTCAGTGTCTGTGGGCTGCAAGGGAAGTTTGAGGGCTGCAGGGATATGTGAGGAAGATGGAGCCAGCGAGATAAAAAGAGAATTTTAAGACATTTCGGTCTGTGATGATGAATTGGATCCTTTTGACATTCTTTAATAAAGACTTGAATTGCATTTCCAGTTATTTGTTGTTATAGAACAGTGGTCAGCAAACTCATTAGTCAACAGAGCCAAATATCAACAATACAACGATTGAAATTTCTTTGGAGAGCCACATTTTTTAACTTAAACTACATAGGTAGGTACATTATTAACTTAATTAGGATACTCCTAAACTGGCCTTTGCTAAAAACTCAAGGGGCCAAAGAGCCACATGTGGCTCATGAGCCACAGATTGCCGACCACTGTTATAAGACATTTTAAATGCAACCATGCTGAGGCTGGACTACAGGCAGGTTAACATGTGTCATATTTAAAAGCATCATAGGCTCCTCTCGATGTAGACGGTAAATTAGTTGCACAGAAGAGGAAGAAAATCCATCTACAGGGTGGCAAATAGACCCCTCCATCCCAGATTAAGTGACAGGTACACTTGATGGGTGAGGAATTGGAGGGTTCTACTGGGTATGAACAGGTCAGAGCTGACATGTATTTGTATTTAGTTAAAAGTCATGGGTTTGGCTCAGTGGAGAGAGCGTTGGCCTGCGGACTGAAAGGTCCCAGGTTCAATTCTGGTCAAGGGCATGTACCTTGGTTGCGGGCACATTCCCTACTGGCAGAGCTGATCAATGTTTCTCTCTCATCGATGTTTCTAGCTCTCTGTCCCTTTCTCTTCCTCTCTGTAAAAAAATCAATAAAATATATATATTTTTAAAAAGTCATAGGGATATCCAATGGAAAAGTTGTTCTTAACAAGGTTGAAAGCAGTATCTAAAAAAAATTTAAAAGGACAACTTTCATGCTAGCCACCTTGCACAAGAACGAACATGTTTAAGCCTGGTGAGTGTTATTGAGTTATTGCTGAATCAAGGAATAAGCCAGAGCAAGTGTGGGTCCGACAGTGCAGAGAGAACCAGGAAAATGGATGGTGACACTCTATCCTCTGGCTGCTGAGGATATGGGTCCATCCCTGCACAACACGGGCAGAGAGAAACCCCCTGCTATCACCACGCAATTTACTCAGCCCATTCTGATGTCTGCTCTGGAGCTCTGGGTGTGATTTGAGATAAAAGTTGATATTTCTCCAGATTATTTTCCAAATAACTTTCAGGGCTAAATATAAGCATAAGGGAGGAAGAAGGGAATCTAAATCCAATTTCAATTTTTTTATGGTGTTTCACAACTAGAAGGCAATTTGTGTTCATGATCTCATCTACTGTCCTTGAATCAATATAAAATATGAACAAGGGTTGGGGAACATATAAACGTGTGGCTTCGGGATGAGGAGGAAGGAAGGGAGGGGCGGGGAGAAATGCTATAAGAGACAGAGAGTGTTAGATTTAGAACCATCCCCTAAATAAAGATACTCTGTGCATTTATTGCTGGTCTAGTAAATTTCCCAAAGATGAGGAACGTGCAATTTATGTATTTTGAATCCACAAGTTAGTACATTGATTTGGACAAGGCACGTAGTCAGGCTTCATTATCCAAGAAAAGCAGTGGACCAGGAGCCAGGAGTTTGGTCCTAAAACACTTGCATTTATCATTCTGCACAATTGGTGAAGCAATCCAGAGCCAGCCTTCCTGGGCTCAGATTCTTCTCCTGACTAGGTCAATAGACATGTCGCAACCTCTCTGTGCCTCGGGCTCCTCCACTGTAAAACGGAGGCGTACTAGTTGTAAATGCTTCATAGGTTGCTGTGAAAGTTAAATTGAGTTGTTGCCTATAAAGCATTTAGTACAGTGCCTGGCACAAAAGCATAGGCTCAGTGAATGTTAGCACTCTTTTTTTTTTTTTTCTTAAGTGCAGCTTCAAATTGGAAACACCAATACATCTGACTTGTTGATGGGCAGTGATGCTGATATCTCTGTAAAACTTCTTTTTTAACAACTTTAAAGAGATGTAATTTACATACAACTCACCCACTTTGAGGTGTACAACTCAATGGCTTTCAGTATATTCAGAGTGGTGCAGCCACCACCACAACCAATTTTAGAACATTCTCAGCACTTCAAAAGGAATCCTACAACCCTTAGTTTTCACCTCCCCATCTTCTCATCCTCCCCTGGAGCACACACCCAGCGCTGGGCAACCACTAATCTACTTTATATCTCAGTGGAACCACCTATTCTGGACATTTTATACTAACAGAATCATATAATATGTGATCCTGTGTGGCTGCCTTCTGTCCTTGAATATCTTGTCAAGGTTCATCCATGATGTCGCAGGTACCAGTACTTCAGTCCTTTTATGGCTGACCTGCAGCTTTCTTAGAAATAGCCATTATGGCAAAGGGATGATCCCTGCTCTCCACACTTCTAGGATCCTTACCCAGACAAGGTGGGTTGTGAGGCAGAGAAGGGGCTCTCTGGCTGGAAAACTCTCCTGACCAGCAAGCATCATAGGACCACACCCAGGCTTTGCGTGGCCAAATTTACATGCAGCTCTGCCATTTACCTGGTCCAGGTACTGAGCCTGTTTTCTCATCTGTAGAAAGAGATAATGATGCTATTCCAAGACTTAGAATAATGCATGTCAGGGGCCTAGGAAAACCCCTTTATATAATTGGTGTTCAAGATGGCAATCATTAGGCTGCAAGGAAAGGCTTCGTTTGTTTCAGCCTTTTCTGCTGTGGGTTACCACAGTGATTTTTTTTTAAAGTGATATACCAATTAATGTCTAAAAATCTCTCCTGGTATACCAGCCATCTGTAATCATAATTTACAAGACATGACTCCTCATAGCCCCATTCTCAGGGTCCACCGCTAAGGATGAAGAAGGAAGAAAGGGCAAATCAAGCAGTCCAGAGTTGAAGTGACATTGAGGACCTCGTGCGACATCTATGACTCCTCCCCAGGTGACTGCTTCCTGACAGTGATGCCCACAGGTGACCACACTGACGAACACACTGGTTGACTCACATAGTTGGTTCAGTCACCGCAGGCGCGGGGCGCTGACTATGAAGGAAAGAACAGTTAAGTCAGGGATGTTTCATGTTTCGTGGCTCCTCTGAAGGTGAGAACCCTTGAAGACAGATTTATCATTCTCTGCTAGAGCTGGATACCAGTATAGAATGGCATTAGGAGAAGGGGCCGCGGTGGGGTTCACAGACAATCTTGGTGAAAGAACACGTAAATGGCAAAGAAGACAAGATTTGCATTTTTGAGCTGTATGCTTTCTTTAAA